ACACAGCAACGATTGTGAGATTGGCGCAGGACCGGGGCAGTGTTTCGTTCTGTTGTATACAGGGTCACTATGAGTCGGAACCAACCTGACGGCACCTAATAATAATAATAAATGCTCTCCTTAAGCCCATTTTACAGCAGAACAACTGAGGCTCAACAAGGTGAGGGCTGTTGCCTAAATCGTACCACTCAGGTCAGGATGGAGTGGAATCAGATGTGTGCATATCCTTCTGCCTTGGGGGCTGATGGCTGGGCACCCAAGGGGATGTGGAGGAAGAGCAGCTAGCATCCAGCTCAGCCAGCCCTTCAGCCAGCCTCTCCTTGGCTCTTCTGGCAGAGAAAACAAACACACACACACACACACACCCCGTTGCCATCAATTCCAACTAATAGTGACCCTATAGGACAGAACAGAACTGCCCAGTAGGGTTTCTAAGGGGCACCTGGTGGATTTGAACTGCTGACCTTTTGGTTAGCAGTCAAACTCTTAACCACTACTCCACCAGGGCTTCCTCCGGCAGAGAACATCCTCTTTAAACACCTCTCCCTCTTATCCCAGTGCCCAGCCACTCTCTGAGGTCTCTACCTTCCTGTCCAGAACGGCATCACCAGGATCTCCAACTTCTTATTCCTGAGTAGTTACGGGGGTTGGTTGGGTATCCCCTGACCTAAATGAGTGCCTTAAAGCTGGACTGGACTGGGGGCTGCTCTGCTGTGACTGGGCAGAAAGAAGCCCAGAGGCAGCCTCAGAGCCCAGAAAGCAGCCAGGCCCACCCCTCTGCCTTCCATGGCTGCTCAGGCTCTCCCCTGAGGCTTCGCTGGAGGAATCTCTGATGTTACAGATGCAGACAGAGGATACACACAGAGCAATTGTGGACTTGCTCTGTACTCAGACATGCAGACACAGCTACTGTGCTACTTATCGAAGGACTCAGAGCTCCAAATTTACTCTTCAATATACCTCTGTGATGAGCAATGGAGTTCCTTTAGGCATTTCTCCTTTAAAGCGAGTTGCATGTTAAACTTTTTCAGTAGAGGGCGCTGGAGAGATATTGCAAGAAGAAGGGGTGGTCCTGCAATTTCTGGCTGCAGTCTGGTGGGCCTGCCTTGTGGGTGTGAGAACAAACAATTTCACAGAACACCAACATAAAACAAGACCTTCTGTTATGAGACGCAAAGATCATTTCAAAATCATGTCTGGACACAGTCGAAAGAGGTCGCTCGCCAAGCCACAAAAATGAAATAACATGAGCATCTGCTGCTCCTTCACAAAATAAGCTTCAGCCTCGCTCCGCTCCTCTCACCTCCTGGATAAAAAATTTAAAGGCATTCAGTCATAGAATTGCCCCAGCTTCTCGACAGCACTCTATCCAGAATAGACTCTCGTTCCTTAACTCCCAACCCAGATTATATAACACAGGGCCACATCCCATAAAAATCCCCTCATAATAACCTGTTACCGAGAAGCTCTATGGTCCACTACTGCATGCAATATCGCTATTGTGGTAAGTAGGGAGGAAAAAAAAATCAAATTTGTTTGACTAAGTGGTCAAAACTTTGTTACTGATGGCCTTTGCCTGGAGGGTACTGACATTCCAATTCACTGTCTTTTTCCTGCTCACAGCATCCCCTTGGGATGCAAACAGGTTTTTGAAATCTTATTTTACAGATGTAAAAAGCTAAGGCTCAGCCAGAATATGTGATTTGTGCAAATTCACAGCCATAACATAAATTAACACCAAGCCTTCTGATTCTAAATCTCAAGCTGTACCTCCAGATGTAGGTCACCCAAGAAAACTGCTTCCAGGGTCCTGCCTTAAGCAGGCTGAAATGGTGAGGAGCATACCATGCACTCTGAGTGTGGACCAAGGCAGTGGTGCCCTGTTTCACAGATGAGGAAACTGAGGATCTGAAAGAGATGGAACTTGACCAAGGTCACACAGCCAGGAAGTGGTAGAGCTGGGATTCCAGACCAGGCTACCGGAAAGTGGTTGCAGGAAGGTCAGGCAGTCCTTCTACAGGTCAGAGAGGCAGCCATTTATCTCTGCAGCCTCTTGGGGTAAGGTGGATGTCTGCTGGGGGTGCCAGAGTGGAAGCAGTGCTAGAAAGGGGCTAAAGTCCAGAACAAGTGCACATAGTGGCCTTATCCATTGAGTAGAGTTCAGGGAGGGTAAGCGGGCTGACGCATGTGCTATGGAGAGCAGAAAGGGGCTCATGGATGGGCAACACCAAGGCAGTGGCTCAGCTGGCAGATTGACTTCCCACTCACACACTGACCCCCTCCCAGCCCAATTCCAGGAAATGTCAGGGTCTGAAGGGCAGTTTCCTGACCTCTGGACTAAATGCGCAATAAGAACAAGCACTGTGATCAAACCCAGAGTCTCCAGTGTGGCCTGAAATCACCTACCTCATCTCACCTCACCTCCTGTTACTTTGGTGGATGGCTCTGACTGAGAGAGAGTGGGGAAGAGAGATGAGAAGTCACTCTCAGGCTTTTAAAGGCCGTGGATCTCCTCGTCTTCATTATTTGCTTTGGGCTGATAGCTGTGTACCACCCTGGGCATTTTCCAGGTACAGGTCAGCAGAAAGCAAGGATACCATGCTCTCCACAATCAAGGACTGTCCGCTTAGAAGGGACAAGGAAGGGCATCTCATCCACCTTCCTTCTGGTGTTTGGAGGCCTCTATGTGAAGCTCTTGACAGGGCTCATTCACCACCCCAACCTAACGTGGCATTTTCAGACAGCTCTGTTAGAAATGTCGTTCAGAATGAAGAGAATCGTGCTTCACAGAGGTATCGTTCCACTCTTCTAGATTGTCCCCATTGACCACTGGCCCCAGGATGATCTGGGCACCTGGGCTATCTCCACACAAATCACTTGTGAGATTGTGGGGAGAGGAACTATATCTGTGGAGGGAACTGCTGAGTCGGGAGACTGCCTAAATCTCAGGAAGCAAACTGGAGGATACTCAAGATGTTAAAACTCAACTTCAATCAGGGGCTTTAATGAGATGTGTGTGTGTGTGCAGGTAGAGATGTGTGCACATCTTCAAATTTGTTAATTCAAGGGTATTCATAGATCTTCCATTCAAATTTTAATCATCATTTATGAATAGTCTACTATATTTCTGTTTCTGTTCAAAGAGAGAATACAGATGTATGGAAACCAAACACAGAGAGCCCTGTACTCATAGAGCTTTCATTCTAAAGGGCAGAGATAGAAAATAAATTAGTACAAAAGTAAATGGCTAGGATAGTATCATGTAGTGTATCGTGTAGAGGCAGAAAATAGAGCAAACTAAGAGGATAGAGAGGCTAGGTAGGACTATTTTAGATAAAAGTGATAAAGACAAGTTTCTTGAAGACAAGAATGTTTGAATAGAAGAGAAAAAACTAGCCAGAGATGCACTGGAGAGGGCATCCAGGCAGAGAAAATGTCAAGTGTAGAGCCTGAGGCAGGAGTGGGCCCTAAAAACAGTCAGGGGTCTGTTGTACCTTCATGGATGAGTGTGTCCATGTATGTATAGTTGATGTACATGAGTTTGTATATATCAGTATGTATCTCTGCTAGAAACAAGGATACCAACAGGACTAACCATGTCAGCCTGCTTATTACAGCTCAGCAATGAGAAATGTCAAAATGAGTGGCATTGAAGGAGGAATTGTGCTCTATAAAGCAGCAGTGGTCAAGGATTGTACAAGAGATCCCTGAGGGAATTCTCTCAAGAAGACTTTAGTGCAGTCCTAAGAGTTATTTATTAATCTAGGGGTGGAGGACAGGCTGGCGCTATTCCTGTTCACCAGGCTGATTGGGCCATACAGTGCTGAGTCTAGCCTCTTCCCTCACCCTGCAGCATCTGCCATATTCCCAGGCTTGAGGGCCAGCCACCTTATCACTGCATCCTGCCTCTGTAGAAGCCCCAGTAAGTCATATGTTGTGCATAGATCTGGAGTCCCAGAGCAAGACTGTGGCAACTTGACTTGGCCCTGGGGCCTAGAGAAGACTTACGGAGGGTGGAGGGATGGTGGATGGCAGGCAGGAGGCATGCCGGGATATCTCTTTTTCTCTTGTGCTGGGGTAACTGTGACCTTCCTAGATCTACTTGATGATTTGCAAATGAGATTGCACCTTTGTTTTCAAAGGGAGCTTTGGAGGGCTAAGCCTATGGGGCTGGGCTACTGAGGTTCCCTGGGGAGGGACAGCTGGAAGGGACTTTTGAAGGACAGATGGAATGTTGAGCAAGAAACTGGAGAAAGATTCAAGGCTTTGACTCACAAAACACAAGGATTTCCTGCCCAGAATGAGAGAAGGATCTGGCACCCTCCCAGGGCAAGGGTAATGAGAAATTTCTGGAGAAAATGCTTTGGAAGCAAGCCTCTCTTACAGTGGGAAATACAACATTAAGAGGAAGCAAACTCAAGTTAATTCTGGGTTGAATTAGGTGACTAGTAGAAGGCTTGATTTGAGGTTGGGATCATCCTTTCTAGAACACCAGCCTGGAGCTCAGTGCCTGCTACTGAGTAAATGATGGTTAACTGGACCTGAAGGAGAGTGGGATATGAAGATGGGAAGCAGGTGCAAGTGGCAGATGGAACCAGAAAGGACAGGTCTCCAACAGACACCCTCCATTCACCCTCACACTCCTCAAGTCAACAGGCAAGAGTGGGCTGGCACTGTGTAGCCTTATTCTTTTTCACAGACACAGGAAGCATACTGGCAGTCTTCCAGCAGTAACCCCAAAGGCCTGGGCACCCTCTACCCCTCTCCCTTGGCCCCCCACTGCATGTTGTGCCTACCTTTGTTAAAGTACTCATAATACAACATCACAGGAAGTCTTACTTTTCCATCTCCCAGTCTGGAGGCCAGGGATGGGTCGACCATTTCCACATCTCTGCCCAGTACAGGTCATAGGACAAAAGGCATGTTTGTTAAATATGTGTTGATTAACTATACTAAGTGAGATCATTTTCCTTGACACTCCCCACACCAAGGTGAGGATCATGTTCCTGTTTTCTTCGCTCCCTCTCCTTCTCCTGAGTGTGATGACAGCATGTTGTTCAGAAAACTGTGAAGAAGTTCAAAAGACCTGCCATATGATTACCTGTGGTTCCCCAGGCATCAATGGCCTCCCAGGTGCCAAAGGAGAAAAGGGAGAACCAGGTACAGGATGAGCTACTCTGTCCCAGTGAATCTACCTCCTAGTAGAAACTTCCTGGAGATGTGAGGATGGTAATGTCCTATTTACCAGATTATATTTAGGCAGATCGTATTTCTCTCAACTATATGCTACAACTCAAAACAGAGGTAGGACTCAAGCTCTCTGGCATCCCAGGCTTCCACATAGGAGCTGGTGACGTTTGGTTGTTCTGCCTGCCCAGGGAGGTGACCTTCAGGGCAGGCCATACCATGGGACACAGGAGAATCTTTCTTCTGTAGCTCTCCTCTAGCTTATTGGAATCAGTGACTCATAAAACTTGGCCCTGGGTCAATGTCTCCTTTCTCCTGGAAAAGGACTAGGCATCCAATTCTTGGAGAAAGAGAGCAAGAACACAGATACTGACTCCTGTTTCCTTTGTCTTTCAACAGGCCAAGGGCTCAGAGGCTTGCAGGGTCCTCCTGGAAAACTGGGACCTGCAGGAAACCCAGGGCCTCCTGGGGTGCCAGGAGTAATGGGTCCAAAAGGAGATCCTGGAGAGAATTCACGTAAGGAGCTCATCCCAGAAACGTCTGGGCTAAGGGCACCCAGGGCATTGGTACTAGGTAGGAAGTGCCCCTTCTCCTGCTGCCTCACTGGAAGATGCCTAATTCTGCTTCCTGGCCCAGTGCCCTCAGCATTTTCTAGGCTACAAAGAGACTAAGGGGATTCCCACTGTGCCTGAGTCCAGACTTACAAACCTTCAGGGCCTCTTGCTCACCAGGCCCCCTGGAGGAACTGGGCCCTGGCTTTCCTTCAGCTTAAGCAGTCCATTGTGAGGCTCTGGTTCAAGAGGAAGGAAACAGGCCATCTCAGAAGTGGGCTACTGGGTGGAGCAAATAGTTAACTGCTCAACTACAAACCAAACTCACACAGAGACATCTTGGAAGAAAGGCCTGGCAATCTGCTTCCAAAAGTCACAGCCTTGGAAACCCTACGGGGCAATTCTACTCTGCACCACATAGGGTTGCCATAAGTTGGAATCAACTTGATGGCGACTGGTTTGGTGTTTTTAGTATATACAAAGTGTATCAATTATTTTTTATTACATAACAAACCATCCCCAAACTTACTGGCTTACAATAATAGCCATTTATTTAAACAACAATTCTGTCGGTCATCAATTTGGGCTGGGTAGAGCCAAGTGGTTTTTCTGTTGGTCTCAGCTGAGCTCACTCATGTGACTATGGTCAACTGGTTGTCAGTGGTCTCACTCACATGTCTGGCTGTCAGTTGGAGTGATTAGGGTAATTGGGCCATGGGTCTGTCATCATCCAGCAGGCTGTCTTGGGCTTGTTCACAGGGTGATGATAACAGGGTTCCTAAGAGCAGGAAGAACAGAAGCTGCAGGGTCTCCTGAAGGCTCAGAACACTTACAGTGTCTCTTCTGCCACATGCTATTGGTCAAAACAAGTCACAAGGCCAGCCCAGATTCAAGGAGTGGGGAAATAGATTTCATTTCTTAATGAGAGGAGCTGCAGTCAATTGAAGTCATTTTTGCCATCTACTACACATAACTTGTCTCATCCCCTTCCTGCTTGGATAATGGAAAACTCACAAGATCTTGGTTTACTGATAAACAGAACAAACAGGGAAAAACAAAAACAAAAGAAAAGAATAACAAACACTTCCACAAAGATAAAACCCTTCAACCCTTTTAGTCAATATTCACCACCTATAATAATTCCCCAAGAGATTTCTTTTCAGCCTTGATAGAGCAATGTATATGGAAAAAAACAATTACTGAAGAGCATGGCCTAACGAGAGCTATAATGCTTAGTAATCAGGGAATGTATGTGCATTGCATGCTGGTGTGGGCATGTATGTGTGCATAAAGTATCCTGAGATACTTCCAACAGATTGCGAACAGTGATGCTTTGTTCTGAGTGAAAACGGAGATACTCCCCCCTTTTTTTGATTTTCTGTATTTTTTATTTCCCTTCAGTAAGCAAGTATAATGGAAAAGAAACCATGTTTAGTTTGAAAATGCGTAGCCCACACTCACAGATGCACAGTTCTGGGACTCCTCCTCAACAATGTGCCTTCACTCTGCTTTAATTTTCTAGATTATGATGGTGACCTGCCTGCTTCAGAAACAGAAGCTCTGCGATCAGAACTGGACCGTATCAAACAGTGTAAGCCTTCTCTCTTACTCTTCAGGCAGCTTTGGGTTTGGGAAGGTAACAAATAGTGGTAGAAGGCATATAATTTCCTCGTTCCTGGATAGGAATTTCTCACGCTCATATCTCACGAAATCCTCACAACCACCTTTTTGGTGGAAATGGAGGCAAACGGAGGTTAATAAACTATTCAAACACATAGAGCTAATAATTGGCGGATCCTGCACACTCTGCTCTCAAGTCACTGAAAATGGGATCCATCACCCTTTATTAGCTGGTTTCTGGCCTGAAGCTCATGTTCTAGATGTTTTTCTTTAGTCTTAAGTCAATAGAGAATTCTGAATTGTATGCGTTATAAAATTCTGATCCAGAAGAACAAGGGCCTTTCCGCCAATCTGTCTCTCCAGAGTAAGTTTGCCAGATTTAACATATAAAAATACAGAATACCCAGTTAAATCTGAATTTCAGGTAAACAACAAATAAAACTTTTTTTAGTGTAAGTATGTCCCAAGTATTGCACAGGACATACTTATACTAAAAAAAAGATTGCTCATCTGAAATTCGAATTTAGCTAGAAATACAGTATCTTATCTGACAACCATATCCTAAAGGCCTCTATCCAGGGAAGCAACTTGGGTTGGGCTTAGAGACAAGCCAGCGTCACCCACTTTTTTACATTTCAGGGCTGATTTTCTCTCTGGGCAAAAAAGTTGGGAAGAAGCTCTTCTTCACCAGTGGTGAAAAGATGCCCTTTGAAAGAGTGAAGGCTGTGTGTGCCCAGTACCGGGGTTCTGTGGCCACCCCGAGGAATGCTGAAGAGAACACAGCCATCCAGAATGTGGCCAAAGACGAGGCCTTCCTGGGCATCACTGATGAGGAAACCGAAGGCCAGTTCGTGGATCTGACAGGAAGACATCTGACCTACAGTAACTGGAGTAACGATGAGCCCAATAACGCTGGCAATGAAGACTGTGTGATGCTCCTGAGTGATGGCAAGTGGAACGACATCTCCTGTTCTGTCTCCCACCTGGCAGTCTGCGAATTCCCTGCCTGAGGAAACACACCCCTCAGGCCCTCCTTGACCTGTGTTTTACCCCACAGGCCTACAGTCTGCTTTGAAAGATAAATCGATTTCCCCATACTCAGCGTTGAGTTGCTCTTTTGTGCGGATGTGGGACTGGAGAACATGAGGAGAATAGACTGAAGGATGGGATATGGAAGTGAGAATGATGGGATATGGGGAGACGCTGACAGTGGTACAATGACAGCTTCTAGTTCCGCTTAATCACTAATAATAATCACTGTTCTTGATGATGCAACAGATGTCTTAAGTTCTGGCAGCATACAGTTTCCCAAGTGGAAGATTTTAAAGGTAACATAAATTATTTCGAACAATTTGGCCTGGTAGGCTTGTTAAAAGAAAGTCAGATCACCTCCTAAGACAGGAGTGACATCACTGACAGAAACAATAAACACTGTACAATTTGAGGCACTGCATTCCCAGGTCCAGAATTGAAAGATTGCCTGGGAAACATCTGCCATCGTGCTAAGCTACCAGAGACAATATAATGAAGTGTTTCAGAATATGAGCTCTGTCACTATGAGCTGGAACCAAGTTGACGGCAATGGGTTTATTTTTATTTTTCAGTTGAATAAAAAAATCGGTTGCCATTGAGTAGATTTCAACTCATACCAACCCTACAGGACAAAGCACAACTGCCACATAGGGTTTCCAAGGAGTGGCTGGTGGATTGAAACTGCTGACCTTTTGGTTAGGAGCCTGGGCTCTTAACCACTGTGCCACCAGGGATCTGAGCTCTCTAGTTTGGCCTATCTAAATTAGATTCACGATTCTACCATTTAATGGTTGTGTGATTGAGCTCACAGATCTGTCTCAGCCATTTATTATAGCTGTGAGACGAGACAATCAAAAAAGACAATAACTGTAAAGATTATTTAAAAAAAATTTTTTTTACTGTACTTTAGATGAAGGTTTACAGAACAAATAGTTTCTCATTAAATAGTCAGTACACGTATTGTTTTATGACATTGGTTAACAACTTCACGACATGTCAACACTCTCCCTTCTCGACCCTGGAGGACCTTTTTTTTGGTGAAAATATACGCAGCCAAAGTCACACCATTTCAGAAGCTTCTACATGTACAATTCAGTGACATCGATTACATTCTTCTAGTTGTGCTGCTATTCTCACTATCCTTTTCCAAATTATTCCATCACCATTATCTTCAACTCACTGCCCCCTAGGCTTTCCCTCAAACCTTTTGAGTTGCAGTTGTCAATTTGATCTCACATAGATAATTCTTTTTTTCTATTTTTGTACCTTAGATGAAGGTTTGCAGAACAAACAGCTTCTCATTGAACAGTTAGTACACATATTGCCCTATGACAATGGTTAACAACCCCACGACGTGTCAACGCTGTCCCTTCTCAACCTTGGGTTCCCTATCACCAGCTTTCCAGTCCCCTCTTGCCTTTTAGTCCTTGTCCCTGGACTGCTGTGCCTCATTAGTCCCGTTTTGTTTTATGAGGCTATCCAATCCCTGGCTGAATGGTGAACTTCAGGAGTGACTTCACCACTGAGCTAAAAGGGTGTTCAGAGGCCATACTCTCTGCGTTTCTCCAGTCTGTCAGGCCAGTAAATCTGGTCTTTTTTTTTGTGAGTTAGAATTTTGTTCTACATCATTTTCCAGCTCTGTCCAGGACCTTCTATTGTGATACGAGTCAGAGCAGTCAGTGGTGGTAGCCGGGCACCATCTAGCTGTACTGGACTCAGTCTGGTGGAGGCCGTGGTAGCTGCGGTCCATTAGTCCTTTGGACTAATCTTTTCCTTGTATCCTGTTCTCTTCATTCTCCCTTGCTCCTGAAGGGATGAGACCAGTGGAGTATCTTAGATGGGCGCTCACAGGCTTTTAAGACCCCAGACGCTACTCACCAAGGTAGAATGTAGAACATTGTCTTTAGAAACTGTGTTATGCCAGTTGAGCCAGATGTTCCTGAAGACCATGGATCCCACAGCCCTCCGCCCAGCAATTCAGTCCCTCAGAGAGTTTGGAAGTGTCTGTGGAGCTTCCATACCCTTTCCTTGTACAAGTTGTGCTGGCTTCCCCAGTATTGTGTACTGTCTTACCCTTCACCATATTTACCACTTATCTATTGTCTATTTAGTTGCCCCCTTATCCCTCGTAACCAACAAAGATTGTTTCTTTAGTTTTTAATTGCACTTCAGGTGAAGGTTTACAGAACAAATAGTTTCTCATGAAACAGTAGTACACATATTGTTTTATGACATTGGTTAACAAACCCACGAAATGTCAACCTGCTCCCTTCTCGACCTTTTTTTTTTTTTGGTGAAAATATACATAGCCCAAGATACACCATTTCAAAAATTTCTACATGCACAGTTCAGTGACATCGACTATACTCTTCCAATTGTGCTGCTATTCTCACTTTAGATGAAGGTTTACAGAACAAAATAGTTTCTCATTGTGATGGTTAAGATTGTGTGTCAACTTGGCTGGGGCATGATTCTCCATGTTTTACTGTAATCACTCCCATGATTGAATACACTGTGAGTAGCCAATCAGATGAAAGGGAGTCTCCTTGGGGGTGTGGTCCGCATCTGTATATAAGCAGACGTTCTGGCTTTTTGCTCTCTCTGGATCCTGCGGCTGCTTCCTGTCATCTCATCTCCTGTTCTTGGGACTTGAGCTGTCAGCTTATCTGCCGAATCTGGGATTCGTTGATCTGCACAGCCTGTGAGTGGGAGCCCTGCTCTCCGACCTTCCGATCTTGGGCTTCCCAGCTTCTACAGCTGTGTGATTTGGGAGAGGCCTCTACCCTGATCCACAGACTTGGGACGTTCTAGCCTCTACAATCACGTGAGCTGTTTCCTATATATAATCTCTCTCTATATATATATTTATACATTTACTGGTTTTGCTTCTCTAGAGAACCCAGCCTAAGACACTCATTAAACGTTAGTACACATGTTGCCCTATGACAGTGGTTAACAACCTCACAACACATTAACACTATCCTTACTCAACGTTGGGGTCCCTATCACCAGCTTTCCAGTCCCCTTCTGCCGTCTAGCCCTTGTCCCTGGACTGCTGTGCCTCATTAGTCCCATTTGGTTTTATGGGGCTTTCCACTCCCTGGCTGAACGGTGAACCTCGGAAGTAGCTTCACCACTGAGCTAAAAGGGTGTCTCTAGTCTCCTTTAGGCCAGTAAATCTGGTCTCTTTTTTTGTGTGTTAGAATTTTGTTCTACATCCTTCCCCAGCTCTGTCCAGACCCTCTGTTGTGATCCTGGTCAGAGCAGTCAGTGGTGGTAGCCGGGCACCATCTAGCTGTACTGGACTCAGTCCAGTGGAGGCCCTGGTAGCTGTGGTCCATTAGTCCTTTGGACTGATCTTTTCCTCATATCCTGTTCTCTTCATTCTCCCTTGCTCCCAAAGGGATGAGACCAGTGGAGTATCTCAGATGGCTGCTCACAGGCTTTTTTTAAGACCCTAGATGCTACTCACCAAGGTAGAATGTAGAACATTGTCTTTAGAAACTGTGTTATGCCAACTGAGCTAGATGTTCCCGAAGACCATGGATCCCACAGCCCTCCGCCCAGCAATTCAGTCCCTCAGAGAGTTTGGAAGTGTCTATGGAGCTTCCATGCCCTTTCCTTGTACAAGTTGTGCTGGCTTCCCCAGTATTGTGTACCGTCTTACCCTTCACCATATTTACCACTTATCTATTGTCTATTTAGTTGCCCCCTCATCCCTTGTAACCAACAACGATTGTTTCTTTCTGTGGGGAAACTTTCACATGAGTTTTTACAGTAGAGGTCTCATACAATATTTGTCCTTTTATGATTGACTTATTTCATTCAGCATAATTGTCTTAGTCATCTAGTACTGCTACAACAGAAATACAAGTGGATGGCTTTAATAAGGAGAAATTTATTTCTTCACAGTAAAGTAGGCTAGAAGTCCAAATTCAGGGTGTCAACTCCAGGGGAAGTCTTTCTCTCTCTGTTGGTCTTCTCATCAACGTTACCCCAGACTAGGAGCTTCTCTGCGCAGAGACCCCAGTCCAAAGGACACGCTCTACTCCCGGCACTGCTTTCTTGATGGTATGAGGCCCCCAATTC